TGGGCGGCAGGAGCCGATTGCATCCCCCTGGGCTTTCCGTGCTGCTTGAAATATGAGGGTTGAGTCCTTCGGTACATGCGCTACACGCACCCCTGCCTCCCCTGGGGTTTACAGCTCTTTAGTGGCGATGGCACGGGGTGGGGAGCCCAGGAGCACCGCATCCGAGGGGGTCCTCTGCTCCTCCCTGTCTCTGGGAGGGGATGCTGTTATTTCTGTTGTTGATAATAATCATTTATAATAGGTTTATATTATGCTCGAAACCACTCGAGCTGCTCCAGTTTATCTTCCCCACAGAATTTCCCTAATTCCCTGTTAACCCTTGGGTGTTGGGAGCCCCTGGTCATGGAGCTGGTGCTGGGAGGTGCCGTGTAAGCAGGGAAGGAAAAGAGGAGCTCCTGGCCCTGGGAGCTGGGAAACCAGACAAGTTCGGGTGCTCTTACTGCAGGGAGGCTCTTTGAAACCTCCACTTCTCAAAAATAATTGAAAACAACCCCGTTTTCTTCTCTTCTGGTTGCTAATTAGCTGCGCTGGTCGCTTTGGCTGGTGTTCGTTGGGAAGGTAGCTCTGATCTTAGAACCCACCTAAAAATGCCGTAAGCGCATGGCCCAGCGCTGCCTCGATACGGTCAAAAGCTGTGGGGGTGTACATCTGTCCCTGACCCGGGTCAGCCGGGGGTGTAAATCTGTCCCTTCCCTGGGTTAGCCGGGGTGACACCTCCCGGGACGCGCGGCGCTGGCACATCCTCCGCATCGCGTGCTTTGGGTGGCAGGATGGAGACCTGGTCGTGTGCTCCCCCATCACCAAATCCATCCTGAAACTTCACACGACCAATATTAATTAATGCAATCCTTGATATTGCTCATCCCCGCTCCCGTGTGAGCACCCAGGGCCGTCCTCGGGGCTGGAGGCAGCCAGGGCGTGGGTGGGAAGGGGTTGCTCTCCCAAATTAGCAGCGAGCCTGGTACTTCTCCTCCCCGATCCCGTCAGTCCTGGTGCAGAGCCATGCTGCGGGAAGCCGGACTCGACACCTGTGTGTGCTCCCCACCTAACCGTGTTTTTACCCGCCGGTAATCCCGTAATTCTTTTAACAGCCTGGAAGGAAACCCATTGCTTCAAATTGAAGTGGAGCCCACCTCGGAGGTGAGATGGCTGGGCTTGCTCCTGTGCTTAACGGGCCTTTCTTTTATCTATATCGTGGGGCACATTTCACAGGAATGAAGTAAGTTTAGCATCTGTGCAGTGAAATGGCTGATAATTGAGTTAATGGCCAGACCTTGGTCCTGCCCAGGCATCCGTGTCCCCACCCTGGGAAGAGGGACCCTCGTGGGCTTCATGTCTGCCCTCAAGTTTATAATTCGATGAGATTTTCTGAGACGCATTAAAAATGTGGTGGAAGGGAAGGGGTGGAGGGTGATGGGGACACAGCTATGTCGGGTGCTGTAAATGCGGTAGAAAGCTTGTACGGACCATCAGGGGAAAAGGCAGACCCATCCCGGGGGGTGGGCGTGCAGAGCCGGGGGTGCCGGGGTGGGAGCAGTGGTGTTAGCGGGGCACAGCTTGGCCAGGGCAGGATGAAACACCGCTTTCAGACGAATGAATTAAATGCTCCGGTGTGTCACATTCTTATATTTAACCCTGGGGTAAATAAATGCCTCCCTGCAAAATCTGGGTTCCTGCCAGCCTTGCGTCAAAGGCAACCGCCCGGTTGCCGTTGGAAGGTACCTGCCCGGTTTCCCTGGGGCTGCACAAGCCGTAGGTGGGTTAGCGGGGTTTTGGCCACGTTATTTCCCTTGGCTACAGGGTTCTTTCCCCCCTCCTGTTTTATTGCACTGACCTCTCTTTGCCCCCCCCGGCAGAACGAGGAAGGCACCGAGGAGGCGCAGGAGTCCGAGGACGATTTCGAAGAGATGAACCTCTCGCTCCTCTCCGCACGCAACTTCCCCCGCAAGGCCAGCCAGACCAGCATCTTCCTCCAGGAGTGGGACATCCCCTTCGAGCAGCTGGAGATTGGCGAGCTCATCGGCAAGGGCCGCTTCGGGCAGGTCTTTCACGGGCGCTGGCACGGGGAGGTGGCCATCCGCCTCATCGACATCGAGCGGGACAACGAGGACCAGCTGAAGGCCTTCAAGAGGGAGGTGATGGCGTACCGACAGACCCGGCACGAGAACGTGGTCCTCTTCATGGGCGCCTGCATGAGCCCTCCCCACCTCGCCATCATCACCAGGTAAGCTCCGACATCTCGTGCTCAGCCGGAATCGGTTTTTCTTTCTAAAACACCTTCCCGCAGTCAGATGTTACCAGGGGGCAAGGCTGGCCATGCCCCCCTGCCCGAGCAAAGGGGTGTTCTCCTTCTGCTGAGATTTGTGCTGCAAAGCAGATGGCAAACCCATCTCCGTGGCTCCAGGCAGATTCCTCTCCGGTAGAAGTGGAGCTTGAGACAGGAACGGTTTTGTGTTAACCAGGGCCAGGAATGGTTCGTTTTAACCAGGAGGGGTGGAACCTGGTCGGATCGGCAGCTTCTGTCCTGGGGTGTTTTGTTTTGGTTTGGTTTTTGTTTTTTCCATGGTGCCCTGGTTGGGTCCCTGGGGTCTGGACCCGGCTCGAGCGCTGCCACAGCCTGGAAAAGCCTCTAATTGCATAAAGCGGCTGGTCACGGGCGAGGACGAGGTCTCACAAATCACTCGGTGCTGTGAAAAGGGCTCGGCAGGGTGCAAGCCTTAGGTCCAGCGCTCTGTGGAACAGCCAGAAGGGCAGCAGAGGTGGGAAAACCGGGCGCTTGCGAGGAGGGCTGGTACTCCACAGCTCTGGAGCCCATCCAGGGGGTCTCCTCGCTCCCGAGATGGTGGGAGACCTCACAAGATAAGTCATGGTCTCCTGGAGCATTTCCTTCCTCTCCCAAAGCGGTTGTCTCTGTTACTCCCCAAACTGGGTATGGGACTAATGGGAGCGAGTTTGGGATGGGGCCAGGGGAGGGAGACTGGGGGCTTGAGGAGCTGCTGGGTGGGTGGGTGGTGATGCTCAGGGACACGGCAGCAGGGTGCGGGGATGAGACTGCTGGAGGGGGCTTCTTGCAGCTGGTTGGGGAGCAAGCTGGGATTTGGGGTCTCCCAAACCCTCTCAAACGCTGCCAGAGCTGCCTTGGTCTCGAGGAATTCCCATGTACCTGCTGTCACCCACGTGCCTGGTGGGAAACGCAGCACCGAGCATCCCGGCGTGCGCCTTGCATGGGTGGGCAATCACAAAATCCCCACCGGCCTCGAGGCGAGGAGGCTGCAGATGCTCCTGGAGCAGCTGTTGTCATGTGAAATACATTTATTTCTGACTATTCAGTTATTTCCCTCACCTCTAGACGATATATTCAGCCACGGGGCTTGATGCGGTGCTGCTTTGCATCCCGCCACGGGTTGTCTTCTCTCGGAGAAGTTTCCCCAAGGTGAGGTTGAATTTCCAGCCGTCTCCTGGCAGCGTTTCAAAAAGCCTGTGCTGAAATGGCAACGCTTCCGACAGCCATTAGCGATGAAAGATTGCATCATCCTCTCCTAACATCCCCTTGAAAGCGGCACCTCCCGGTCCCCCGGTCCCAGCTGGGGTGACTCTGCGGGTGCCGGGGTGGGGGCTTTGCTCTGCTCCCCTCCTTGCTCAACAGGAAAAGATTTCAACCCAAATTTGTGGCTTCTCACGCCATTGCTTGCTGCCCGTGCCGGTGGGTTCGTGGACAGCATTTGGCTCGGGCGTTGCATCCTCCGGGGACCAGGTGACTCCCAACGGGGACTGGCTCGCTCCTGCTGGGTACTGGAAAAAAATACTCTTTTTACTTTGGATCAAAACCCAGTCATCTGGGAAAATTCAGCAGTGTTTCAGATCCCCATCTATTAGCTCGCTTCAGACCAAAAGCATTTTGAAAACTGTGCAAGCACACGTATTGATTGATGCGTCAGAGCCCCCCTCCATGCGTGACACCTCCTTGCCCCCTCTACCCAGAGCTTCTCCGTCCCGCTCCGCTCCGCGATCCCTTTGCAGCCCCTGTTTGCTCAGCTTTTCAATCCTATTCAATATCAAAACCCGGGCAATATATGCTGCTTTTTTTTTTTTTTTAAACTGCAAAGTGTTTTCTATTCTAATGCCTCTTTATATAAAACCGTAAAGGTGCCATTTTTGACAGTTTGACAAAATAAATACGTGCGCCGCGGCGGCGTGATGCATTAATATGAGGTCTGTGAAGCGCGCGGCTCGGCTTGCTTTTCTTCCCAGCTGCACTCAGTCCTTTTTTTAAGGTCAAAGTACAGCTTTATTGGATTGCCCTAAATATAACCTGCGCTCGCAACCTCCCCGGGCGTTGCTTGCTCTTTGCCTACAACCAGAAACCTGCTTTTGTCCGTGTTCTGCGAAGGCGGGATCGACATCACAATGGTTTTCCCATTGCACCTGGAAACCTGTTTGGCTTTCTCCTGCTGGGATTTCTGGGACGCCGTCGGCTCGGGGCTGGGGCTGGAGCCAGGAAAGCCAAGGGGGATGCTGGAAAGGGGCTCAGCTCAGTCCCACGGAATTTTTGAGAAGCCCATGACTACCTGAGGGCACATCCCTCAGCCTGGAGGTCATTTCCAGACACAATTTATTCTCCTTTGAGGCTTCTCGTGGTGCTGCCCCAGGGGGGTCCTGGGGGGCTCTCAGGGCAAAGCCTCCCTTGCGTTTCCCGGGGCAACAGCGCAGGGATGCTCCCTTGCCCTTCTGCCTGCGGTCCTTCTCTGGTCTGTCCGGGGCTGAACATTTTTGGGGACTTCTTGGGTTGTCTCTGATCATCTGCTGTGGGGCAAAGCCTTCTCGCCGTGTGGAGCTCTCCATCCCATGCATGCATCCTTCTCTGGCCCGGCTTCTTGGGATAGGCAGGTCTTCCCTACGGGGTACGACAGCCCTGGGGCCTCTTCTGCCGTGGCACAGATGGGAGCTGCTGCTTGGGAATGAGTCTGGGAAGGGGACAAGGTGGTGTGAGCTGGACTGGGAACGGTCAAGGATACTGGGAATGGTTGAGGGTACTGGCAGGGGCCAGCTGGGAATGGTTGAGGGTACTGGCAGGGTCCAGGATGCGGCACTGGGGGAGGAGGGAGGCCGGTGACCCCGCGCAGGGGAGAGCATTGCTCTTCAACCAGGGTTTTTCTGAAGGGACTCAAGTTGTCCTCGTGGGTTTACGGGAATAACTTTAAATAAAGCTTTGCTTGGAGTGGGGGAAAATCAGTCCTGGCCGTCTGATGGGGCTCGTTACAGATACAAATCCCCGATGCCCGAATTTCCTTGCCCATTCCTCCCTGTGTGCACCCCCGGGGCCGAACTGCCTGGGTGCAGAAGAGGCCCCTTTTCTTCTGGGTGCCCAGAGGTGGTCGCTCCAGGATGGTTTTTCCACCAAGAAAAAGGCAATTTCTTGTAGCTGTTAGCGAGATCTCTGTTTTCCTGCCAGCACGCCGGCAGCAGCTGCCCGTCCCTGGAAGGGGCTTTACCACGCTGTGCCGCCCGACGCTGCCGGAGGGGGATTATTTATAGATGGGTTTATTTTTACTTTTTCACATCCCTACGTTTTCCTTCCTGCTTACTTGTGATATTCAAGGATCAGCTCATTAGCAGAAAGAAATCTCCCCCTCCAAACACCATGGCCCACAGGCAAAAGCTGGCGGGGGGGAAACTGAGGCAGCGGCTTGCTGACGGTCTGATGCTTTGGGTTAACGCTCTGGTTTTCTCTGCATTAACCATTGGTCTGGCCAGATGCTTGGGACCAGAACTGCTCAATAGCTTCATCAGCGACATAGACGGTGGGATCCAGTGCATCCTCAGCACATTTGCAGGTGACTCCAGGCTGTGTGGCGGGATTGACAGGCTGAGGGAAGGGGTGCCATCCAGAGGGACCTGGATGAGGCCAAGTGCAAGGTCCTGCACATGGGTCGGGGTAACCCCCAGTACCAGCGCTGGCTGGGGGATGAAGGGATGGAGAGCTGTATCCTGGGCTGTATCCCAAGCAGCGTGGGCAGCAGGTCGAGGGAGGGGGTTCTGCCCCTCTGCTCCGCTCTGGTGAGACCCCCCTGCAGTACTGCCTTCAGCTCTGGGGTCCTCAGCACAAGAAGGACAGGGACCTGTTGGAGGGAGTCCAGAGGAGGGCACGGAGATGATCCGAGGGCTGGAGCACCTCTGCTGTGAGGACAGGCTGGGAGAGTTGGGGTTGTT